GCGGTGGAGACCAGTCCGCCGCCGCCGGATTCCATCTTCGGAATTTCCAGCGGATCGAACAGCATTACCTTGTCGCCGGACCACGGATCGGCCGGGAAGGGCTGTGCGATACGCGACTTGTTGTCCTGCGCAGTGTGAAAGCCGGTCTCGTTCATCTGAAGCGGATTGAGGATGCGCTCACTGAGGAAAGCGCTGAGCGTCTTGCCGGAGACGACCTCGATGACGCGGCCGAGAATATCGGTCGAGCGGCTGTAATTCCATTCCGCGCCCGGCTGGCACATCAGCGGCATGCCGGCGATCAGCTTGGCGTGCTCTTCGTTGGTGATGTCACGGCGGAAGACTTTCGACTTCGCGTACATCCGCTGCACCATGCCTGCGCCGGTGATCTCGTAGGAAATGCCGGAGGTGTGGCGCAGCAGGTCCTGAATGGTGATCGGCCGCACCGGCAGCGCATATTCCATCGCGCCGTTACGTTCGACGCCGACCTTCTGATTGGCGAACTCCGGAATGTATTTGGCGAGGGGATCGTTGAGCAGGATGTAACCGTCTTCGACCAGCATCATGATGCCGAGCGACACCAGCGGCTTGGTCATCGAGAAGATGCGGAAGATGCTGTCGCGCGCCATCGCCGTGCTGCCGGCGGGATCCTGCTTGCCCTGCGCCTCGAACCAGCCGATCTGCCCGCGCCGCGCCACCATCGACACCACGCCGGGCGTCGTGCCCTTGTCGATCTCGCGCTGGAAGGCATCGCGCATCCGCTCCAGGCGCAGCGCGGAAAGGCCGATCGCTTCCGGTTTGGCTGAAGGAAGAGCAGGGGTTGCCTTGGCTGCGCTTGGCGTGGCGTGGACGTTCATGGAGCCTCCGGAGTTTTCTTGTTTTGCACAGGTTCCGGACATGAGGGAACCGGCGGCGGATGAGATTGATACAAAAATACGCGGTTGAACAGGGCAGCGGAGCCCTGAAAGAAAAAAGCCGCCCCACAGAATGGAGCGGCTTCAAGTCACCGTAGAAATTCGGCCTGGCTTACGCCGCCCGGACCTCGCGCAGGAAGGCGTCGACTTGTGCCTTCAGCGTTTCGCCGTTTTGTGAAAGCTCGGCGGCGGATGAAACGACCTGATCGGCGGCGACGCCGGTCTCGCGTGCCGCATCGCGGACACCGACGATGTTGGCCGAAACTTCACCCGTGCCCTTCGCAGCTTGCGAAACGTTATGCGCGATCTCGCGGGTGGCCGCGCCTTGCTCCTCGACGGCTGACGCAATCGCGCTCGCGATCTCGTTGACCTTGCCGATGGTGCGGGTGATGCCGTCGATGGCTTCGACCGAGGTTCGCGTTGCCGACTGGATCGCGCCGACCTGCGCCGAAATCTCATCGGTCGCCTTCGATGTCTGGCTGGCCAGCGCTTTCACTTCGGATGCGACGACCGCGAAGCCGCGCCCGGCTTCGCCGGCGCGGGCCGCTTCGATGGTTGCGTTGAGGGCGAGCAGGTTGGTCTGCGCGGCGATCTCGCTGATCAGTTTCACCACGTCGCCGATCTTCTGCGCGGCCAGCGCCAGGCCCTGAACTTCGGCGTTGGTCTGGTTCGCTTGCTGAGCAGCATGACCGGCAACCTGCGCGGATTCATTGACCTGCTGGGCGATCTCGTTAATCGAGGCGTTGAGTTCCTCGATCGCTGCGGCGACGGCCTGCGCATTGGCCGATGCCTCTTCGGACGCGTCGGCCACCGCCGTCGTCTGCTTGGTTGCTTCCTCCGCGGTGCGGGCCATGCTCTCAGCGGTGTTGCGCAACTCGGTCGAGGCCGCGCCCACGGCATTCACGACACCGCCGACGCCGGTTTCAAACCGCTCTGCCAGCGCGAGCACGGTGCTGCGGCGTTCTTTCTCCGAGGCAATGCGCTGGTCTTCCTGTGCCGCCCGCAACCGGCCGGTCTCGACCAGGCTGTCCTTGAACACCTCGACCGCGCGCGCCATCGAGCCGATTTCGTCGCGGCGATTTCCGCCGGGCACAACGACGTCGTGCTGGCCTGATGTAATCGCGCGCATCGCGCCCTGAAGCGCGACGATGGGGCGCGCCAATCCGCGGCCCACCCAGGCAGCGATCAGGATCGCGATCAGGACGGCGGCAACAGCGCCTGCTGCAAGCCACCTGGCGGAGTTCGAGGCGAGTTCTTCATAGTCCCTGGTGTTGCGGATGATCTCGACCACGGCAACAGGCTGGCCCGAGAAATTCTTGAGCGGACCGAATGTCGTGGCTGTCGGCTGGCCGTCCAGTGTGCCCGTGAGGAAAATGGATTCCCCTGTCAGGGCGCGCTTCAGAGTGGCGGGCGAGGCGGTTGCGGCCTTCACCGTTGACGCGAGAGTCTGCACCTTGTCGTCGTTGATCTGATGGATGGCGACATCGACACCGAAGCGCGACTTCATCGACTTCACGAAGGTCTCGCCGAACGGCGCGCCGACGTCGACCGTGCCGAGCAGGGTCTCGTCATCCATAATCGGCGTCGCGCCGAAGATGTTGAGAACGTCGCGGCCGGCTTCGACACCGCCGATCGGCTTTTTCGTCGCGAACGACTGAACGATCATCTTGCGGCGGGCAGTGACGTCGTCGCCGAATGCCTTCGGATTGTGAACCCGGGTGAGGGCGACGCCCGGCGGTATCTGGATGGTGATCAGCTCAATACCGAGCGGCTTGATGTCTTTCAGTGTCTTGTCGAGCAGCGCGTTGATACCTGCGCGGTCCTGCGCGCGGATCATAGGCTTCAGTTCGGGGATGTTCGCCACGGTGTTGGCCACCGCCTGCACGGCGCGCGTATCGGACTCCATGGCGCCGATCATGTTCGCGTAGTCGGATTGCAACTCGCGATGGAGGGCGAGATCGACGGCCGTGTTTTGCCGCCAGAGGCCGAATGCGGCCAGCCCTGCGCAGGAGGCGGCCGCCACCAGTGAAATCGCGATCATTATCCGGGCGGAAACGGACCAAAGTTTGCGCATCGTGTCCCCAAAAAATCCTGAGCCATCACAGAGAATTCTGTTGGGGAGTTTTTACGAACTTTGAATCAACACCGGGTTAAGGCCCTCGTTGGCGGCTCATTCAGCCGCTGAGGGTGTCTCGTTCGCCTGGTGGCGCGGCTCGGAGGAGGGCGCCACCATGCTCAAATGGAAGACGAGACCCGAGGGCGGGTAGCGGAAATTGCAGTCGCCGCCGAGTTGCCGGCTGAGGTTTGTGATCAGGCGCGTGCCGAAACCTTCTTCTGCGGGCGGGGTCACGGATGGGCCTCCGCTCTCGCTCCAGATCAGGCTGACGATCGTGCCCCTCGGGTCGTCGCGGGTCATCCAGCCAATGGTGACGCGGCCGTTTTCGTTCGACAGCGACCCGTATTTGAGCGCGTTGGTGCAGAGTTCGTGCAGGATCATCGCCATCGGCACGGCGGTGGTCGGCGGCAGATCGACCTCCGGTCCCGAGATTGTGACGCGATGTCCGCGATCCTGATGCAAAGGCGCCATCGCGGCTTCCGCGATTTCCGACAGGCTGGCGTGCTGCCAGTTCTTCCGGGTCAGGAGGTCATGGCCGCGCACCAGAGCCTGAAGGCGCTCGTGAAACTGGCGCAGCGCTTCGGGCCCCTGACTGTGGCGAAAGCTCAAGCTCGCAATCGACTGCACGGTGGCAAGGGTGTTCTTCACACGATGGGCAAGCTCGTGAACCAGAATCTCGCGCCGTTCTTCGGCGGTCGCGCGTTGCTCTTCGCGCATCGCGTTCTCGTCCATCAGCCGGTCGAAGGTTTGCCCGAGAACGCCGATCTCGTCGTCGCGGCCGACGATGCCGGTTCGCGCGGCATCGTGACCGCGCCGCCAGGCCTCGGCCGTCGCCACCATGCGCATCAGCGGCCGGCGGATAATGCTCTCGCCGACCAGCCAGGCCAGCAGGAACGCGACGGCGCTTCCGAGCGCGAACAGCGCGATGCTGTTGCGGACGGCGCGATCGATGGGCCCGAACGCTTCGCTGTGCGCGATGCCGCTGCTGACATAAAGGCCGAACGGGGTCGCCGACGCGGGGAGGAAGCCGATGATGCGCGCCACGCCGTCGATCCCGACAATGTCGTCGGTTGCCGGCGCGGACATTCCGATCCTGCCGAGGCTATCGGTCAGTTTCGTGCCGACAAACTTTTCAGGCGCGGGTTCGCGCGACACCACGATGCCGTTGCGGTCGGCGATCAGGATGGTGCCGCCGCGCGGAACGCCGCGCTGCTTCAACTGCTCCCCGAGCCATTCCAGGTTGAGGCCGGCCACCACCGCGCCTTCGACCTTGCCGTCCCGGATGATCGGGACCGCCATCGGAATGATGTTGCGGTCCGAGATCTTGCTGACGGTAAAGGGGCCAATCGCGAATTTCTTCTGATCGACAGCCTCGCGAAAGTATTCACGCCCCGCGAGATTCGGCGAGGCGAGACTTGGCTCGCTGAAGCAGCGGATATTGCCGTCCAGACCGACGATCAGAAGAGAGGTCAGCGGCTCGACATGCGGACGGACCCGCACGACATAATCGGTGCATGCGGTGCTGTTGAGCCGGCTGACCTCGTCTGCCTCCGCTACGGCGCGAAGCGAGGCCTGTATGCCGTCGAAAATCTGGCCGACTTCGGAGGCGACGACCTGTGCGTTGCGCAGCGCGTCGCCCCGGACCTCGGCATAGCGCGTATTGCGCAGATCGAACGCGCCGTAGGCGACTGCGGCAAGGCCGGGCAGGGATGCAACAAGAGTAAGCGCCAGCAGCCGGTGGGTGAGCGACATGCGGCGTATGGCGTTGCGAAGCGGCAAACCGTTTTCATCCCCACCGGTTGAGCTTTTAGTTAATGTACGCGGCACATCCGGTGTCGGCAATCGCCAGAAACCGGGTTCCATCAGCAGGTTAATTGCCAGGAAATTGTCCTGAAATTCTCCGAGAAATCAGCGAGAAATCGCCGACAGGGGACGTGACGCCGCAAAGATCGTTCGCTATAGAGGCGGCATACAGGGGTGTAGCTCAGTTGGTAGAGCATCGGTCTCCAAAACCGAGGGTCGCAGGTTCGAGTCCTGCCGCCCCTGCCAGATTTGGCCGTACAAATACGTATTTCTGGCCCTTGGCCCGCTCCCCGAACCTTGACCTGACGCCCGTCCCACAGTAGATAACGGCACCTGCTGCCGGCCCGCTTTGACGGATATCCGGCGCGGCATTGAAATCCCCGGACAATCGAGCCCGCTTGGCGGCTCATCCTTCAAACGAGGGTTGGGCGCAGTAAACATTGGCGTGCGACGGCTGTCCGGATTCCTGAAATAACTGAAATCACGCCAGGATACGACGTTTTCCCGGCATTATGGATGCGGACCTCAGACGATGGCTCTCAGCCCGTTCAAATTTCTGCAGGAAGTGCGCTCGGAGACCGCGAAGGTCACCTGGCCGACCCGCCGCGAGACCATGATCACCACGATCATGGTATTCATCATGGTCGCGGTGTCCTCAGTGTTCTTCTTCGTCGCGGATCAGATCATCCGCGTCCTGATTACTTTCCTTCTCGGCATTCATGCCTGAGCGCGGAACCGAAACAATGAGCATGCGCTGGTACATCGTTCACGCCTATTCGAACTTCGAGAAGAAGGTCTCCGAATCGATTCGCGAGCAGGCCAAGCAGCGCGGACTTGAAGATCTCTTCGAGCAGGTGCTGGTGCCGACCGAGAAGGTCACGGAAGTCCGCCGCGGCCGCAAGATCGACGCCGAACGCAAGTTCTTTCCGGGCTACGTGCTGGTGAAGATGAACCTCACCGACGAAGCGTTTCATCTCATCAAGAACACGCCCAAGGTGACGGGCTTCCTCGGCGCGGAAAACAAGCCGATGCCGATTTCGGAAGCCGAAGCCATGCGCATCCTGCATCAGGTGCAGGAAGGCGTGGAGCGTCCGAAGGCGTCTGTGTCGTTCGAGATCGGCGAGAACGTGCGCGTGGCCGATGGCCCGTTCGCCTCGTTCTCCGGCGTGGTCGAGGAAATCGACGAAGCGCGTTCGCGCGTGAAGGTCGCGGTGTCGATCTTCGGACGTGCGACGCCGGTCGAACTGGAATTCGGTCAGGTCGAAAAGGTCTGATCGTTTCCGCCATCATCTGATGGCGGTGAGAATGCCGTGGGAGGGGACAGCCGGTCGCCAGCCGCCTGTTGAACCGCACCACGGTCCTAAGAAGGTCCGGAATGGTCCGGATCGTTTGAAGGAGTAAAGTATGGCTAAGAAAGTGACCGGATACCTGAAGCTTCAGGTCCCGGCCGGTGCGGCGAACCCGTCGCCTCCGATCGGTCCCGCGCTTGGTCAGCGCGGCCTCAACATCATGGAATTCTGCAAGGCGTTCAACGCGCAGACGCAGAAGGAAGAAAAGAACACCCCGATCCCGGTGGTCATCACCATCTACGCGGACCGGTCGTTCACGTTTG